AAGCAGAAAGCAGAAGCGATAGAGAGCAGAAAGCAAGAAACAAAAACAGCAAAAGCAAGAAGCAAAAACCAGCAAGCAGAACCAGAGAGAAGAGCGATAGGCACCACACATGAGCAGGAACCACAGAAACAAAAAAAAAAAACCTTAAAAACAGCAACCCCATGTGGATTTGGAGGATAGACATCCGCATACATCCGCTAGTTTAGCAGCAAAATCTCAAGTTGGTGATCCATACTTTTTGAATTCTTAGGAAGGAGCAGAAGGGTGAGGATGTCATTTGGGCATTATTGTCAGCGCACACGCAGATCAGAATGCCCTTTGCCCTGCGCAGTTGATACAAGTACATTGTAATCATGATGCAACATCTTCGCTGCCTTTGTCGTCAACACAGATGCACTGGTCACACTGGGGTTGGGCATTGACGGCTGGCCATTGCAGGGGTGCGGCAAGGGGAACAAATTCGCCTGGCCACGCACAATGTACTTTACAAACACTGCCTGACATGAAAACTTCCACTGGCAAGTACTCGTCATGCTCGTGCAGCAATATCGGGCAGCGCCTGCACAATCCCAGTTGTTGACTAATTGTTTTCAGCTCTGCTCATGTTTGTCCATAGCTGCGCGCCTCATCGGCGAGAAGCCCAACGCCGGGATCCCCAGCTCTCGAAGGAAGCGCGAGTCCGTGGCGGCTGGAAACACCTGCGAGGAAGAACATCCACTTCACAAAGGCACACGTTGGATACCATAACATTTGGACAGGATGCCTCAGGCTCGACATCGAAGGACATGGATGACATGGCATCACCTCAAGACTCCAGCTGCATCGCACAAGAAGACACTACACTCCACTCCATTCACATGCATGTAAGATCTGGTGCGGCGCCGTGGGGAAAATATCTGGTTAACTTCGCTCTGTGAGTGTCAATTGGCTTGTGCAGCTCAATCACGAAATGCAACCCACCACGGGTTTGAGTCGTCGGGAGCCTCGGCGGTGCGCGGCTGCAAGCCTCCCTTTTGATTGACACAACTGGTGGGCTACGGAACCTATCTTCAGAACCCTCTGTCAGTCATTCTTGCGTAAGAGGTTTGCAAACCTTTCATAAGGCGGGTGGCGGTAATGTGGTGCTCATGCAGTGCCCTGGTCCATGGTGCAATTTGCCAGGTGATTCCTGGCGTCCGCTGGAGAACACGCAAGCTTGCAAATTGATGCTCCAGTGAAGTTCTGGCATCTGCTTCATGCTGCCCATCTTTGCGTTGGCCGGCACAGGTTGGGGTTTAGGGTCTTGGGTCTAGGGCCAAGTTCTAGGCTTAAGCGTACACGGTTTGGGTTTGGGGCTCAGGGTTTAGGATTTTGGATGGAGTGTGGGTTCGGGTGACGGACTAGGGCCAATATTGTTTTAATTGTTTTCAGCCTTCAGGGCGGTAAGGGGGCACGGTTATGCAAGGGTTCAATGATTCAAGGTACGCGGCTTAGGGTGTAGGGTTAAGGTGTCAGGGTTCTGGGCACACAGTTTGGGTTTAGGGCGTAGGGTACGCAGCAATGGGAGTAGTGCTGATGGATGCGGGTTATGGCGCTGAGGGTATATAGTAGAGGGTGTGGGGGAATTGTTGGGATGGGATCTTTTTGGGGGGGCTTTGAAAATGGACCAGTTGGGCGGATGCCCAGAGGCTCAGAGTTCTAGGGTTTAGGCGTACGTAGTGCGTGGTGTTTCAAAACTTGAGGTCTAGCAAGCTGAAAACGAATGCTTACTGGCTCCGGCGACGACAGCTCTGCGCTTTGCGAAGAGCACGCGCATGCAACTGTGGACGAGAGCTCCCAAAACTATGACAGTTCTTCTGCGACAACATAACATACTGCGAAGTCACGAGCGACCTCTCTACCGCCACGACCCACTAAGTCTCCACTACTAGCGTGCATGCCTTCGTCCTCCTTGCACCACTGGTCCAGCAAATTCTGGAAGTCCTCGTAAGGCAGCTATCTACAGCATGATCGGCGCAATCCATATCTATGTATCTTCAGCACGTCCAGGCCTTGGGCTTCAAGTCTGGGGTAATCCGCACATCGAAGCCAGCTTCTGCCTCTGTGGGGATCACATTGAGACCTGAGATCTTGAAGCTTGCGAAATCTTGCGAATGATGCCCGAAACTCTGAAGTTTATGTGCCATCGGGATTCAGAACGTCTTCCCGTTGTCGTTGCTGACACCACAACGCAGCATCGTCAAGTTCAGTGTGGTAACGTCCCCTCAGGTGGAAGTTACGTCATCCAACAGCAAACGGCTGAAGAATGCAAAGGTAAATCGGAGCTGAGGCCTCAGCCGAGCTTCTTGGCCTCAGCCATGTCCCCCAAAACACCAAAACCTTCTGGACTTACACAGACACCAGAAAACCAATCTCTTGTCAAAGGGTGCACGTATATGCACGTATGTAGCATCAAAAAACGGTCTGGCAGACCCAGCAGTGGCATAGCACATTGTCACAAGCTTAAATCATCAGCATGAATAGCAATAAGTCTCTCCTCTTGGCCCCCGGGCAATTCCATGTTTGCAGCCATTTGTGCCGTGGCCAAGGGACTCCTCCTCAACATTCGTGTGTGATGTTGCCGTCCAAGCTCAAGCTATACAAATCACATCGTTTCGGCTCTAGCACAAGCATGCTCCTGCACGGCTGCTTCTCTGAGTGCTCAGTGTAATTCAGGCTCCTGCGCCTTGCGAAACGCCAGCGCGCGCTCTGCGAAGCGCAGAAGCTTCCTGAATATTCTGCCATGCTTCCGATGTGATTACTTTCTCAACTTTCTGAGCTGAACAGCCGATGACCAGTAGCGTTGAGAGCCGAGAGCCTTCTGACTCGTTCCGCAAGTTCCGCATGTTCCGCATGTTCCGCGCCAGCACAAGGCTTTGGATGCCGAATTGCTAATTGCTACAACTGTCCGACGTCAAGTCAAGAAAGGTCCGCATCTACTGCTCAAAGCACAACCGCTTGCTTTTCTGCTCATGTCAATTGTTTTGGGGGGGTCACTTGCTTTCCGGCTGCTGTTCGACACCCGCGACCAAGGCATGGATCCAATGAGGAAAAGATTATCCTACATCCTCTATTGTTTGGTCGCTTGTCCGTTTTTATTGGCTTTGGGAGCGAAAGCTCAACTAGAAGACCCTCTTGACCCTTGCATGCGATGACAACCTAAAACCATCGCACCCCAACCTTGACACAGGGAAATCACGGAGACGGACATGTAGAAGCTACCGATTCTTCGCCCTCACTGAACGGAATGCACTGGCACGGAGACAGTGGCACGGGGAGATCCAGCGAGCCCACCCAAAACTCATGTTTCCAAGTTTGGCTGCAGATTGCGGGGATCGGTGTTAGATGTCCTTTTCTTCTATTGAAGTAGTCTGTAGCTAGGGTTTGCTGAATCTATGCGAGCCATGGCCGCCCGAATTCTCGTTCTCGGGGGGTGGAAATTTTCAGGCTTCCCGCAAGTAGGGACGAAGTACCCTCAGTCCGCGGGGCAGAGCTTGGGGGCCAAGGTCAGCCAGGGGCTCCATGGTCTGGAAAGAATATCATCCCTGGCAGCGGCTTGTGAAGTTCAAGATGCTTGGATACCAGATCCTACACTCTCATAAGAGGTCGGGGATGGGCAGGTTGGGAAAGGTCCAAAGACATACAGCACAATTTCAGACCTTGAGCAAACTGAGGATTCAATATGTAAATCTTTTGATGCGAAGAAGAAAAGCGCAGTCCGACCCAGCAAGACATCGCGCGCGTTCCAAATGCCAACGAACGGGGGAGGCGGGCGCCTGCATCCGAGCGCATTTTCCAGCTAGAAAAGGCCGCCAGCGCGAGCTCGCTGTTCCAGAGCGAGTGCCGGAACATTTAACTGCTGCTCCTGCGCCGCCGCGGTCGCGCGCGCGTCTACAACCCGTCCAAGCCTCGTTGGATGCAGCAGCAGTGGCAGCCGCAGCAGCTGCAGCAGACCTCCGTGGACTCTGCCGTCAGCGTGCCGGGCCGAGCGGGCCGGCTGCTGCAGTAAAGAGCATGAGACTATTTGGATCGATAGTCGCAAGCGCGTGGCGGGGCGTGACAAGGACTGCGAGTTCGACATAGGCGAGAGATGTCTTTAAGATCACACCAACTTCGACTTTTGGATAAAAATCTGAGCACGATGGCAGAATCAATGCCGAAGCTGCGAAGGCATTTAGATACGCTCGAGATCGCTCGAGACCCTACCCTGACCAGGAAAAGCACCCAGCAGAAACACACACCCCGCAAGCGACGGTAAGATACCTAAGATACCTCCTGCTCGGTCATGGTACTTCCACTTGCGACCGACATGGGCTGCACAAGTCCCACAAACTGAACCCGTCTGTCCAGCAGCCTTGTGCGCCGAGTGAAGGGAACAGAGCGCCGGCACGGAGTGTCGCTAAGCCGCCCTGCGGATCAGAGAGAAAAGAAGAGAACCACGGCTCCGGCCCGGAGTGCCGCCATGTCCCCCCCCCCGCAAGTCAGGCTCAGGTCACACACACGTCTCCACAATCAACATACCTGGCAGACATTTTTTGGCCAATCATTTCTGTGAGCAACATTCAGGGTTTCCCTGGATTGTTGAGGCCGGAACCCCAAGCTACCAAAATCAAGGTGCAAGCGACCCAGAAGGCATCACCAAGGGAAAAAAAAAACGTGGCTTCTGAAAGTAAGTGCGGATTTTAGCCAGCAAGCAAAAAGAACTCAAAGCAAGCAAGTGACAGGCACGTCTTACATGCAGAGAAATCCTGTGCACAGATCATCTATGAAATTCCTTCTCAGAACCAAACACGACTGAACCTGCGAGAGAGCAGGGGAGAGAGAGAGAGAGGGAGAGGGAGAAAGGGCGAGAGAGATCGAGGGAGCGGGAGAAAGAAATTGAAGGAAAACAAGCACGGAACTAGACATGTAGCCAATTGTACCGAAACGAGCCCAAATGCTCGCCAGGACTCTGTGGTGCCGTGTCCTTGATGAATCGACTGCCATGTCCTCGCTCAGAAGCCAATTTCCCCGGGGCGTCACGAGGTGGGTCTGAATGAAAGCTTCCGTGCTCTGCCCTTTCAAGGCACGCAATCTCTAACAACATAGCTTGGAGTCTACTAAGCCACCTCACAGCCGAGTCATAGACCATGTGGCCACATGGCCATCCCTAAAAGTGGTATCCTGTTGGACCACTTGCTCGCACAAGGAGCCACCAAGGAGTTCGCTCTCCATAGAACCTTGCAATGCGCTTAGCAGTGGCCTCATGATTGCAGAGGAAAGCATCTGAATTTCCAGCACATCGCTGAACTGCTTAGCCCTTTTGCCTTAAAGAGTATTCACGATGTCCTCTTGGATGATGGATGATGGACAGGCAATTCCCTCGAGGGGATCGAAGCAAGAACGAACCTGCTAACCTAAGCCCTGTTGGAGGACGGCCCTTTGAACTATCAGCCAAAGAGGCTGCATGCGATGGTGAAAGTCTCCTTCTAGCGTTGCATTCAGCCAACACTGATCACACGTGGAGCACACATTTCAGCAAACAATGAACAGTACAACGCCCAAGGCGCATCACCTTCAATGCACTCTGCCTTGGGCCAACTCACCCCCAATATGTTCATACTAAAACTGGCCACACGTGGCAAGACCTTCCCAGAAGCCGCAGGGACACAACACAGGCCCCTGATCTGAGCGCAAACCTTCCACCTCTGAAAGCTGCCCAGGCCACACTGTGAACGCATCTCCAGGATTTGCGAGGCCCTTCGAGGCACTTGGCGTAGCTCTGCGGCAACACTCTGCTTGCTCTACAAACGACTGACTTGGACCTGGTGCTTTGCTCCCCCTCTGCAAGTTACATGGGGAACAGATGGTGGAAGAGCTGAGGAGCCCAAGCACATGAGTTAGTGAGTGCGTGCACTGGACTCTGACCGCAAGAAAGCAAGCGAGCAAGCTGCATCTTCTGCCAGTCGGTGCGGGCACCCGACTGTCAGACAGGAAGAAATGAGGTACTCGTATGTATTTGTGTCGGCGTGATGGCAAAGTCTCCTCGTCCAAAGCCAGGCCGAGCTCACCCAACGCTGCAAACTCCTTGAGACAAGCGTGCGCTCAGTTTTCTGGAAGTATCCCGTGCTGAAAAGGCGGGGCGACCCTGCACCGCGTGAGGTAAGCAGATTTTGGTAGTTGCTGAACCCCTTCTTCCAATGATTTTCTACGCTTGGAATACTTGCAAGACTCTCCTGCTTCTGAGCAACAGCTGCTGAACGAGTTGCTGACAGCGTCCTGCCTAGGAGCCTTGTGACAAAGCGTAAGGCAAACCAACGAACTGACAATCTGATGCACTACATCAGGCAACCTGAAGCAAACATGGAGCCAGCTAAGAAGACTATGCCATTGCCGACAGAACTCAGGCGTCTTCAAGAGTTCGCCCATGCCTTCCACCCCACCGACTTCTTCGTCCGGAACAAAGCTCAGGTGGACTGTCCGACGTGGAATAAAACCTGCACAAAAATCAAAGCATTGGCATGTGCGCTGAGAATGCTGCTTGCTTGCAGACCCATCCTCGTTTATGTCAGAGTTAGCGCGGAAGCACGACGCACAGGCCAGGACAACAACTTAACCTTCCCCACTTCTCTCATTCTGGCACATCTGATATTCATGAGACACACTGACCACATTCAGTGCATCACAAAGGAAGGGCGGGGCTCACGCAGCTGAGGCCTCTCTTACGCAGTCGCTGGATCGCCAGAAGATACTGCACCTTTGCATAGGAAACCGTTCGTAACACCTGCTCTGAAGACAACTCATTCTGGAAATGGCCAGGCAAAGGTCAGGATCTGCAATTAGCGTAAAGTGAGTCACTGCTTCGGAATTCAAGAAAGCATGGAAGGAAGGAAATCAAAGCAGAATTGGAGGTTGCAGGGGATCTCCGGTGCGGCTCCGAGGCACCGGCGCAAACGGACTTCATGTCCTGCGTTCCGCGCCCGTAGATGCGGCCATCAATAACCTGCACCAGGTGGAGACTTGAAAGACTTGCCATAAATTCATCTAGTTTGATCAAAGTGAGGCGGAGCACCGGCAGATGGTCTGAACATGAATCAGTTTTTTGATATGGCCAAGAAACATTGCTCTCCAACTCATTTGACAGCAAAATGTTTACAGCTCACACGCTAGCAGAAGGTCTCCTTCCAAGTTTCTACGAGTCTTGGCAAACTGTGCCAGGGTCCTCGGCGGCCCAGGGATCCACTGACCAGCACTCAGTCATGGCAGGGACGACCTGCCAGCTTGGAAATGGGAGGTGCCACGAGCTCAATCTGATGCACTTGTGATGGCAGGTTGTCTGGTGTTATCTAATTCATGGAACAATTTGATCTTTCTCGTCTACAATGTTTGGTGGCACGGCCATTGATGCGCAGCATCTCTCAGATCCCTCGCCAGGCTTACTGGCCATGATTGCCGGGGCCGCTGGAGAAGTGCACTTGCATGCGAGAAGTAAAGATCTCTTCGTGGTGCACAAAGGTCAGAGGCGGCTGGGGTAACCGTAGGGAGCCTACGCAAACATGTAGCGTCCAGTCTGCAGCCTGCAATGACGACAACACAAACTATCAACGAGGTATCATGCGTGTGCCTGCTTTTGCTGAAAGCCTGCATTCCCGTAATTCCCGTGTCACTCCCCAGAAATTCGAGCATGAGTATGCAAATGCCCTCATATCAATGCCCAGAAGGGCAGCGACGTGCCTAGGAAGCTTCCACTGAGGTAAGGGCATCATAGTGCGAGTTGAGCAGTAGTGAGGGCAGACCTTGGTTCAAAGTCGGAAAACGTGCTTTAGCTAACGCCACAATTTCCAACTAGTGGTGCAGACGTGACATGCGTGACATCCCGGGTTGAGGACCCAAACAGCAGCTAGCAGTAGGATCTGGGTGGAGTTTTCCAGCATTTTCCAGATCAGAAATGCGAAGCGCAGTCCTTTCATTGACACTAGTCCTACAAGCCTGGCCGCCACCTCCAGAAGATTCAACCACCCCGTCCACATCTGCCCCTTTCAAGGTGTGTGCCGAGCGAAGCTCGAACTCTTACTTCCTACATAGATTACATAGGTCTACATAGCATGAGCTGGTGAGGCTCCAAGATGTCAAGTGAAAGTCGCCGGTGCTGTCTCAGGGCGCCATATGGAGACTGTCACTGCATGTCATTGTAGCTGTCTGCTGCCTTTGGCGGTATCACTGGACTCAATCAATCGGGAAACGCCCAAGCGCACAGCATTGACCCTCCGTCCCCACAATCACTCTCAGACTGCGAACGCCGGTTCCAGCAGGCGGCTCGCATCATTTCCAGCCCACGTCGCCAGTAGGACAGGCTTGCCCTTCACAGGCTCCACCTGCAGAGTCAAGGCATCGTCGCCTTCTGTGGTGGAAGAATGACAGCTTCAGAACTGAGATTCTACAAAACCTGACCACACGCCCTACCGGCAACACAACCGAAGCCCGAGCCACGAAGCCATGTCAAGACCTTCCTCACCTGCTTCGTCGCGAGGCCAATGCGCAAGCAGAATGCCTCCAGCCAGGCCACTGCAGCCGCATACGAGCCTGACGCGGTGAAATGCCAGATCCCGGACTTTGAACTTTGCAAAGTGCTGAGGTAGTAAAGGATCATAGAACATGCCATTGAACTGCACGTATCAAAATACGGTATCATTTCTATGCTTTTGAGGCAGCAGAACAAAGAGCTGGGGCTGCATACAAAGCCCTACCTTTTCTGCACGCCGAGTTCAGGTCATCGTTTTTATTCATGTTATCGGTTTCTGGGGCTTTGGTTGCTTTTTTATTTCTTCTCATCGTTGTCTAGGCTCCCGTCCACAATGTCCAAGAATGTTGACGCTCGACTAGAGTCTTAGGAGGGGAGTTATATTACGAGCCTAGCTGCTTAGCTGCGAGCCGTTGATTGGGCAAACCGATGCCAAACCAAGAACGCCACCTTGTGGGCCCTCGCCGCTCACGCTGCGAATGCGGAGGAAGTCACGGAAGAGCTCCTGCCACTTCCACTTCAGATGCTCCACAGCAATGGAAAATTCAGGAAGTTTAGGCTGTCTTTAGGGTGTATTTAGGGTGTAGAGCTTAGCGGGGCAGTTCTGTCTGCTTCCGCTGTCGCATGCAAGTGCTGCATGCTCACTCTATTGAAATTCGTTGGGATTGAGTCGGCATTCCAATTACAAAGTGACCTTCTCTATGAAGTCCCCAAAACATTGCTATAGTGAACCTAGGACCTCAACACCCGCACAAGCAGTTCAAAGCAAGTTTGTAAACGGGGTTTGCGTCTCAAACTAAGCCTGACGAAAAACTAAACAGCCGAGACTTATAAAAATCAAACCGACAACCCTTGTATTAAAAACTCAGTCTGCTCCTGTTTCCTCACGAAACGGAAGGAAATTTGGCTAACAATCTAATAGGTGTTGAAATTACTTCGCAAATTTACAACCATGCGGCAAGCTATTCCAGACTAAATATTGCTTGCCAAGGAACGCTTTTAAAATCTGGGGGTGGGGGTAGGGTTCAGTTGGGCGGAGCGTCGGTGCCGCTCGTGGGCACACATGATCAATGCCAAACCCATATCAACTGTCTGCAGGGGTTTCTGCAAAGTAGCTCTGTGTCTGACACATTTGAAGCAGCGATGCGCGACAATTGCATTCATGCCTAGATTGTCGCCAGAAATGTACACCCCAACTCTCCACGCACGAAGTGCCATGAAGCTTCCCTCTCAATCACATGCCAGGGAACTGCTTCCGGAGGCAAGGTATCAGGCATGGCCAGGGAATCCGCAAAACAGAAGCTGACCAGTACGAGTACGGTTGCTTAAGCTGGGATACCAAAACCGTCATGCTGGGGCATTGTGGCTAGAAGGCTGCATTCCTTGGCTTCTGGACCTCCAAGCTGGTATGTTGGGATGTCCCCTCAGTTAGAGGATCTATTTGAGGAATCTGTGAAAGCAAGGCTTCCACAGCCAAAGGGTAGCCGCATGTTGCCGCTGCAAAAGAGTTGCCTCTGCAAACTTGGCCCCGCTGGCCCAAAGAGCTGGCTTGAAACTTGAAAGCTCCCGACTTTTTGCACGCTTGGAATGGGAATCTGAAAGGACGGCCAGCTTGCAGCAAATCTTTTCCGGGTGTCAGTGCCAAGCGGCGAATAAGCACTTCCATTAGGTACGGCTGCCCTTCCGAACTCCCAAATCGATGCTGCAGCTGCGAACTGCAGTTGTGATACGGACTCCTAGTGCAACATCAGCCCAAGCTAGAATGAGCCTTTGGGAGTCCTCAATCCTCACTGCGACAAGTGTCTTGAACTTCGCAGTGGAAACTGAAATTCCGAAATCTACGAACATTAACTATATCCAAACCAAACAGCTGGACTCCCTTCTTCTCACTCATTGGGATTCGGATTGGACCATACCTCGAAACAGCTTTCCTGCGCAGGACAGATCATGGAATCGGTTGATCTTGTTGGGCCTTTGGGTCCCATTGGCGGTCTCAGTCAAGACAAGTTGAGCTTGAGCAGACCAGGCTCAGGAATGGTGACCCCGACTGAAGGCTACCACACCGAGAGTCCGAAGTACTGGCCTAGTGCTTGGCGATTGCGTGACATTTTGTAACAGCAGCATCTTGAAATCCTGATGACCTGACAACTGACGCAACCTGAAGACGCACGCTGCATAGGCCTGATGCTCTCGACGGCACCAAGCATATTGGCTCGACTTGCCTGCTTGAAGATGAGTGTCCATGACAAAGTTGGTGGTTCAGGAAATCTTTCAATTCTTGTGTATTCATGGCTTTGGGCTGATGGTCGCGGTCCTGGCACTTTGGCTCGTAGCAGTTGTTGCAATTTATGATAAGCATTGCCAAGCACCGACCAAGCATTGCTGGGGGTTCGCAACTCATTTTGCTGGGCTTCTGAAGGTTAACCGCGTTTGGGCCTGTGTGTCGTGAGGCTTGTTCACAGCCTTGCTTCACAGATAGTGTTCTGGAGCCCCAACTGACAACAACCTGTTATGCAGCCAGCTTAGCGGCTTAGCGTCTCGATCTATCTCAAATCAGCTGTGCGCCAGCAGAGTGCCTGTCCAGAACGGGTACGGCATCGACATGTTGATCCTTAGACTGCAGTTTCAAGAGCACCAGCCAGACCACGAAAAAAAGCATGTTGTCCTGCATTCTCCAGATTTCCAATGAGTGCTGTGGGAGGGGCCAGTGCTTGTCTTCAAGAGACTCCACAATCGACACGCGTTGGTCTGCAGTGAGACACGCCTGGCTTGAAGTTCATCTTTTCAGGTCTGATGCCCTATACTTGGACTGCTGTCCTAATACCAAGTATTGCCATCGATCTCCTGCCATAGGGGAAGAACAAGGCACGTAGTTACAGTACCTCAAGACAAGCTTGTAACATCTTGTAACCTTTGAGCTCCTAGGCTATGCGAGGCCCGCTAGGCTTGTTCAGGAACCAAATCATACTTCCACTGGGCAAGCTTCACCTGTGACTGCTGCACATCGGTTCCCTCTCAGGAGTTTTACCTTCCATTTAGCCAGAGAACGAGCCACGTGGTGTACTGCTGCTTCTCATCATGGATCTGCAGTGTCTTCATGACCTGCCAACATCGAACTTGACTTTCGCAATGCCTCTTGTGCAGACTCGCGCGGCTAACCTGAAAAAAGGCCTTCAAATTTCGAGAACAAGCCCAATGCTGCCCTTGCTTTGGCGGTCGTCGCGGTCTGAGATTCTGACACTCTCCAGGGCAGCCTCCATCCTTAGCACCACTCGGTGGGCACGTCCAATCACACTCTGATACTCTGGGCTTTGACATCTTATATGTTGGCTCACGGTGCTCACTCAGGAAACTTGGGCTCAATGACAAGAAACCTGTGCATATAATAGCTGGCTTTATCATTGGCATGCGGCTTGTGACCCCCGGTAATTACCAGCAAGTGAGTAGCGTTGTTTTTGGTG